TCGCGAGCCGCAGGTTGCCGGCCCCCTGATAAATACAAATAACTTATATATTTATATACACTTAACACGATTTTATTTATAACTTCTTCACAATTATTATGCACTTTCATATTTTGTATTTTAAAATACATTATTTATATATATTTGTTCACTCATGTTAATTAATTTTGTTTTTTTTTTTTAAATCATTTCTACATCTATATCTACATGATTTAGTTACAAAAAAAAGCAAAAAGAAATGAATGTATATATATATATATATCATTGATTAAAATAAAATAACATTCCATATAATTTTAAATTCCCATGATAAATGAAAGTTATGTGATACTCGTCTATTAGTAGAAAAAGAAAAGAAAAAAAATATTCATTTGGAAAAGTATACATGATATCTCATGTATACTTTTATACATATACTTTGATACATGAAGTATACATGATATATATGAAAAGTATACATGATATATCATATATACTTTTATACATACACTTTGATATACATATACTGTATATAACAAAGTAACATACGTGATATATCATTCGTGATAAAACAATATTACTTTATCTATTGGACTTTTTCATCTCAATGTGTACATGCATTATATACACATAAAGCTTATGTACAGAAGCTTAAAGAATAGGCTTCGAATATTTTCTTTTTTTTTTTTTTTGTGCTGACATCATTCTTAATGACATATTATTAATTATATACAGATACAGTTGAACCTTGGTTTGAGAGTAACTTGGTTTACAAATGTTCAGTAAGATGAGCACAAAATAATTTTGATTTGATGAACGATCTCAATGTTTTACAATACGAGTTGTATTCTCGTTTACCAAACATAATAAGTAAAGTGTTGATTCATTTTTATTTTAGTATTTTGTATTTTGTATCATTTTTGTATAAATAAATAATTGTGGAACAAATTGTTCGATTTTTCATTACATATTTCGAAATTGAAGGTTCCACTGTATATATATATATATAGGAATTTATTCTTTTGTAATTTGAGAAATATATTTTAACAATTATATACGAATTGAAATCATTATTCTGTTGATAATTAATATGTATAGAAATTATACAGGATAATGTAAAGAAAAACAAAACAAAAAATGGAAGTTACATTAAATTACTAGTAGATTAAGTTATGGATAATTAAATAAAATATAATATAAATAAATTAAATAATTAATTTACTAAGTAAATTACTATAAATACTAAGTAATTATTATATATACTAGTAAATTATTATAAATACTAAGTAAATTACTATAATTTACTAATTAAAATAATTATTTAATTTATTTATATTATACTAAGTAAGTAATATATATATATATTAATAGTTTTTTTTAATTATTTAAATTAATATATTACTTAATTAATTACCAATGCAATTAAACAGCAAATATCGTAAATTTAAGGAAGAATAAATTGAATCCTATTCGTATAATTATTTTTTTTTTTTTTGTAAAATACATTACGTTATATTGAAGAAAGAAATAAAAGAAAAATGTGTCAAATAAAATTTAGAAGATCAATGTCGCACAATTGAGAAATCTCTTGAAAGTTTTACAATATTAATTAGTGTCAAGAATATCACAATAAGGCTATGCGTCATAGTAATTATTCTCAATGAAAAATTTCATCGATTATTTTTCTTCCAATGACGAGTTTTGTTTTTGAAAATAATTCCAAATAATTATTTATAATCTCTCCTTGTTGGAAGACATTGTTTTTCTCATTTTCTTCTTTTTATTTTATTTTTATTTTTTTTTAAATATTTAATCTCTATTCTTGTACTGGCAAATCTGAAGAATAATCATCTTTATTTTGTGGTTGATAAACAACATCGTGACAAAGTGGACATCGATCTTGTACGTAGAGCCATTTTCGTAAACATACACCATGGAAGTAATGATTGCAACGTGTAATTTTTGCTGATTGCATTTCTTGATAACATATGGCACATACATCATTGAGCGATCGTAATTGTTCAAATTTCGCCTCTGCCAATGAATTTATTTTGTTAACTGCAGTACGTCTTTTCATAAAAACCAACCATCCAGCTTTAACTTCGCACCAAATATTAAAATATGCGTGAATGCACATCATAATCGCGCGAATAGCACCGCCAGCTTCAAATATTAATATCCAAAAACCATTGAATAATAATATTACGCCAAATGCAAATTCAATGACATTGCCAAATGATCTTATAATATAAACGCAATCATCCAATTCTTCCCAAAATGCTGTACGATAAGTATCGATGAGAAATAATACGTATATAGCCAAGGATACCATTACTTTGATTATAACTTCAACACTGAAGATAGACACAGCCAATAACCATGTGCTCACGCTATATTGTGACCAAAGGAATGCCAATAAAGTTACTGGAAAGAATATCAGGAAGGCGCAAACCGCAAGAGCACGTAAATGCCTATGCAGTGCTGAATTGTGTGAGGCACTGAGAGACATTAATAATGGATTTACAATGTTATGTACAAAATGTAGTACTGCGGTAAATAATAAGCAAAAATTTCTACATAATTTGACTAATCGATTTTCTCTATCTAAGCTTGTCAGTCCAGTTTGTAACGCTAATATATAGAATAACATTGCTGATATTGCACCAATGCTTTTTTCATCTCCATCTTCAGTCAATAATACCCATTGAAAGAAACAACCAATATAATGACAAATAAGTGATATTATACTAGTCATTCCTAACAATGCCGTTAAAGTTTCACAGCCATTTACCAATAAGGTTCTAATCATATCGTAATATGAAAAATCATCATCGCCATAATGATTTTCCAATATTTTGATGACTTGTTCTCCTATTCTTAACAACCAAAACGTACGTAATACGCTTGGAACGTTTAAACGAAACCATTCTGTCTCTAACAGAGCAGATAGACCATAATTATTTATAAAATTACGTGCGTGAGCATATCCCTGATATATTGTTTTCAAAATTAAAACGCTGTTATACCAGATTATAAATTTACAAACAGCTAATGGAAATAGCGTAGCATAAACTGGCGTATTAGAAAGAATTGATATCTGAAACAATTATGAAGATTAATTTGAATTGAAAAAGAAAAAACAAAAAAAAACAAAACAATGATAGAATAACATTAAATTAATACTCACAGGTAATGGATAAATAGCCAAAAGTGATGGCGCCATAAAACTTAATACCAATAATTTCTGTAGAATATAATGTCTCGGAGCAAAATGTATATAACAAAAAATGGTAGCCAGTAAACACTGTAATATATAATTCTGAATAATCAGAGATCCTATTCCTTCTTTAATAATAGAAGTTAAATTCAATGTTAATATATCATCCAATAAACTGGCTGTATATTCAGGCTTGCTCATATATGCTATTACAGCTTTGATAGTATTAGCATTTGACCAATAGGAAATAAATATTATTCCTACAGATGTCATGTATAAGTAAAGAATTATAAGATGTTTTGTCCATAACATGAATGCGCATAAAGCTGCTATGATTGCTGTAAATAAAACAAAATAACAACTGTATTAGATAAAAATGATTATAAATTTGATGCTAGTAATTTCATTGTATATTTTAATCGCAAATATTGTTTCTAATGATTTTTTACTAAATAAGAAATTAATAAATGTGTTTATAAATATGTTCTTTAGTCATTTTATAAATTTCATTTCATTTCATTTCATTTCATTTTGATAGGTATATGTTAATCTGAATTGTAATTTTCCTTACTTGACAAAAATAAGTGACCTATGCAAATTGATTTTAACACAATCAAGAAAATAACACTTTAAAATACATTAATAATGTATGAACTTTGATTATTCTTCTACGTATATTTATTGTGTATATATTAAAACAAATTATAAGTGAATGTGTGTGTGTGTGTGTGTGTGTGTGTGTGTATCAATGTTTACTTACTATAATAAATAATTGTACTTATTCTTACCTAAACAAAATATTATATTCACCACTGCTAACATAAAAAACGTTTGGTAACCATTACTTTCTTTAAAGTTAAAGTAATATGTTAGGAAGGAACTATTCCCATAAAAAGAAGTAGATTCAAAGAAACTACTTGAGTCATTGTCAAGTATGAAATTGTCAGTTTTGTTTAATATAACAATTTTATCTGAATCTTCAATATCAAGACGAAATAATCCATCAATAATGAACAATGGTGGCACTCTCATTATAATATCAGCAAAAATAAAAAACTTATTCCATAATGGGAATTCCATATTTGATGATTTGACTAAATTGGTTATAACCAAAAAAAAGAAAAAGAAAAAAACTTATGTTTTGATAAATTCTTCTAGATGATGCAATTCAATGTTAAGAAGCACTGTTATATTTTTTATTACACAAGCACAAGTACTTCTGATAACAAACCAAACAATAACAATGTTTTGAGTTTTAAAATAAAAACTGATGAAAATTTGAAGAGTTTTAAGTTTAAAGATTTTAAAGAAGACACTTTTGTTTTTTGTTTTGTTTTTTTTGTTTTTTTTTTTATGGAAGATATTAAAGGAAAATAAATATTAATAATTGTTTGAACACAACACACAGCGAGCTCACACGAGTCATGTATTCACTGAATAACAAGAGTCACATATCGTACGTCTTTAATTGAATTTTTCTTGGTAATATTAACGTTTTTAATTTTGATATTAATCAAAATAAAAAAATAAAGGAAAAGCAATGAATTAGCCGATTAAAAACGCAGTGGCGCTTAAGATTGATTTGTAACTAAAAACATATGATCAATTGATTTTTACTACGTGAAATAAAAAAAGAAAAGACAAAAGATACGTAATAATTACAATACAAAATAATAACGTTCAACAGTTGTAAATATTGTAACTAAAATTTTATAAAAATATTTATGTGTTTATATACACAATATATATATATATATATATTATAGTTTTTTTTTAAGTCGACGAATTTTGTTTTCTGAAGCACTTGCGTTTGATAAAATTAAAAGAATTAAAGTCCAGCACAAACACAAATGGAAGAATAACCAAGAAGACGACGAAAAAAGTTACAATGAACTTTTTCACTTTACAATCAAAACTATCGTTACTTTTTCAAAAATGATACTTTTTTTTTTTCTTAAATAATTATTAATATTAACAAATTAAAAACTCATAAGACTGACTATTATATCAATAAATCTTCAATGATTTTTGTTTTTTGTCAATCATGTTTTTATTCTAGAAATGTCGTCAATTCTATTGGTATACGTCTGACTTCACATTGCTCCGATGGTCACATTTAATTGGTTTACTTGGTTGGTTAAGTGATTTACTGTTTTATCGACATAACACCATTATTCAAGGAACAAGTAATAATGGTAAGTGCCAAGAGATGGCTGGTCTGTTGATTAACGTGTGTTTCCGAAAATAGACGAAGTATTACGATGAAATACGAAGAAAAATTTAAAAAAAAGAAAAGTACGTATAATAATATAAACATTTCATTAAAATATTATTTCAAAAATATATTTATTTAATATTATTCCCGTTTAATTTATTTTTATTTATATTCTTCTTCTTCAAAAAGAAATTTTCTAATCGTATCGAAAAAAAAAAAAAAGAAAACTCAAACGGAACTTATTAATACAAACGAAATTTGTCATATATATATGTTATCATTGATAATTTTATTATTCAAATTCACAGTTTCATCGAGTAGTAGTAGTAGTAGTAGTAGTAGTAGTAGTAGTTGTTTGTTAATACGTACTTTTATTGTTCGCGTGTACATATAACTAATGGTGACGATAATAATACGATGGCTGTGAACGAATGTAGAAGCGCGGCCAAAAGGTTTGGGGGTTGGTTGTGGGGCAGGGTGAATAAGGCAGTTTGGGATTTAGGATTTTAGAAGAAGGGCTTAGAGGTATACAGAGATTATTATAAAATAATAATTATATTTGGAAGCATACGACCATCACTTTCGTCAYCCGCAATCAATCAATCAATCAATCTCTCTCATTTAAAAATGTTTATTTTTGTTTTTTTATTTTTTTATTTTTATTTTTATGGAAATACGTCGTGTTATTACGATTTGAAAAAAATGTTCTTGGTGTTGACGTTTGCGTCTTAGGATAATAACGCGTTGAGATACTGTTTCTTCTCTCTTTCTCTCTCTTTCCTATCAATTTTATTTTATTTTATTTATTTTTTTTTTTTAGAAGATCATCGATAATAAATCCCTAAAAAGCACGGTAACGATTGTGTTACTATTTATTTCGATATTTATTATTAGCGTATATGTTTACTTTGTTTTAATCTCCCTAAAAGTTTCAGATGATGGGGATGGATTTGAGCTTTTTTTTTTTTGGGATAGAGAACAGAATTTGATTCTTTTTTTTTCTTATTTAAATAATAATTTAAAAAATATATATATCGTAAAATAATTAAGTTCCTTAGTAACATAAAATATTGAAAAATATTGAATACATTTATATTTAATATTAAAAAGACATTAAATCTCTTTTTAATGGCGACGACGACGTGTTAAATACACATGTATTTAATATTTTTCAATATTTTGTATTACTAGGGGGTTTAATTAAATCCATAAAATTATTCTACCGAGAGAGAACAATATATGAATTTATTTATTGATTTATCAATTAGAAATAATTATTTAACTTTTTTTTCTCTTTTTAAGAGATTAAAAATTCGCGACATTGTGTATAATGAATAATCTAATCTAAAAATCATATTTAAAATATAAATATTTGTATATTAAAATAAAAAGATCAGATTTGAAATGTAAAATTATAAAAAGATCGAGTTATGTCCGCTATTAAAAAAACAAAACAAAACGGAATAAACAAATAAGTTGACGAATGAAAAAATGCTCTTTCCTTATTGTTCACAGAAAAGGGAAATGCGATTACTCGAAAAAAAAAAAAAGAAAAAAAAACGTTCGTATCATCATACAGATTATAATAATTCATACCAAAGCACCCACTCATTAAAAATCTTTCTATCTATCTCTTGTTCATATTTGTTCATTGTTCAGCATATTATTACATTATAATCATTCCTACACAATGATGTATTTATATGTGTGTGTGTGTTGTATCCTTTCATGAAAACAATTTATCGATCAAGATGTAACACACGCTTTCTTCCTTGTATATTCTATTTAATAACATTATTTGCTATGTTTATAATACAAGTGTCTTTTTGTTTTATTTATTTTTTTCTCTTCTTCTTCTTCTTCTTCTTTTATTTATTTATTTATTTATTTATATTATTCGCAAAAAGAGTAATAGTTCGTTTACTCGTAATGCTTTGACGAGAGCATAAATTGCGATTCTCTTGTTTAAAGTCTCTCGTTGTTCTACTACTCTGACACAACTCAACTGATCTAAAATTCCATTTCGTGGGTCTCTCTCAGCACACACAGTATTGTTTTAACCCTTTCAATATGGCGAAAAATCAATCTGAGTGCGTCCCATTATAAAGAATCAGTTAATTTCTCCTCCAAGCGATTATTTGATAAAATAACTTTTATGCCTGAAAGATTGAATGACTTGGAGAGATGCATAAACGTCCTCATAACAGTGCACCATATCAACAACATTGATTTCACTATTGAGTTTTGAATTGATTGACAAATTTTCCAAAATGGGACACAGCATATGTCCCAGCTGATGCGAAAGGGTTAAAACTTGTTTAAAAGTCTTCTTCCTGTCCAGTATTTTTTGTAATATCGTTAGTTTAGAGAACCGAGGAATGTTCCAAGAGAGATCGGGATGCTCAGAAAAATATTCGATCGCAGAAGAAGTCAGCTAATAAGTCACTCGAGGCACAATTCGCTGCTATAAAATTCAACTAAAATTATTTATACCCTCTCCTACACCTTCATTTTATTCATTTCTCTTCTCTTTCACATCACGTTCATGAATATATTCATACGATTATAAATTTTGAAAAAAAAAAAAGAAAAACGAAACATTGAATCAACCCTTTGCACTCTGATGTCTCAACGTATGAGACATTAAAGTTTATTAGTGATTACGAGGAATTAAGTTATTTCAGCACAACTTTTTGAGACATGCATGTTTCCCTGATGTTTTCTCTTAAAATAGCACAAGATATCGAATTAAAATCTAATAAAATAACAAAGATATATAAAAAAAAAAATGTCAGCGGGTTTTGTATTGGAAGAGAATGCGAGACGAGTGTGTTCACGACAGTCCAAGAACATTTTGATCAAACTTGAAAAGAACGATAAGAAAAATTTATAGAAGAAAGGTTTTTTATAGGAGCATATCTCGCATTTTATAGCGAGATTTATAATGTACAAAGAAATATTATCAAATAGTGTCACATTTCAAATATCAATGGAACGCGTTGCTCGCATTTTTTTCAATTGCAACGCCATTACACACACACACATTCTCTTGATAAATAAGTACTTTTGGTGAAAGTTCTTTTGGTAAATATGTTCCTTGATGTCTACCGATTAATATAAATCCAATATCATTAGAATCCGTTACTTGGTTCCAAAGTTATACTAAATAATACGAGGGGGGTCTGTAAATGTGCCATTTCTGTGTCACAGAGTTGTAGCTACACAGAGTTGCAGCTACGCAGCATCGAAAGTCGTGCGGAGTGCAAAGGGTTAAAAACACAATTTGCCAATAAGAGTAATCATCAAAAAAAAAATAAAAAAAAATGATTACAATAAGTGATGTAATTATTTTCATATGCAATTTTATAAATGAAAAATGATATACGCGAATTAAATAAAGAAAGAGTGCAGAAGAAAAAGCACAAGAGAGAAACATAAAACAGCGCGAAACTTTGTACAAAAATGGTATATATTGTTCTTTTTTGTTTTCTCATTATATGTATATTTATATATATATATATATATATGTATGTAATAATAGCTTAGCTTTAATCGTTCCGTGCAAAATGCGAAGGATGTGTCTTTTATTTATTTTTATTATTTTTATTTTTATTGTTTAGGTATCGTTCGCCGTACGCACAGTCACTGTATTTATTTGTTCGTTCATTATTTCGTTCGTTTATTATTTTTGTCCCATTTGTTCTATTAAATATATATTATCATGATATCGCAAAAAAAAAAAAAAAAGATATTTTTCTTTTAATATGCGACGAGATAATTTCAGCATAATAATCATTTTTTTTTTTTATAATATGCACGCAACAAATGCATTCATGGTGTGTTGTGTGTTTGTTTATTTATTTTTGTTTGTTTGTTTGTTTCTTTTTTTTTTTTCTATATTTAATCGTGTGTTGCGCTTTGGGCGCACGCAAATACAAGAGTAAAGACGACACTACACTTAAATAGCGAGCTATAAAAATCCTAATTTCTGGATTATACGTATTTTACGTGGTCTCGTTAATAAAAATAGAGCTTTAGCTAAATCGATACAATGACACATTTATTATTATCACACGAGACAGGTCCTGCGAGAGCCAAAGTTCGAAATCTTCTCAATTATTATTTTCATCAATGTTCCTTTTTTTTTATCTTTATCATTATCTTTTATCTGAATTCAATTTTTTTTTTTTTTTTTTACAGGTTAATTAGGTTGACTTTTTAGGTTAATATTTTTTAACGTTATTTTTTTTTTTTTTTTTTTTTAGTCCGGATAGGTGGTAGCGAAAGTCGCAAGGCATTTCAAGTAAATCAAACATAATTAATAAGAATCGTTACAACATGTCTTCTCTTATCAGGAATATAAAAATGGAGGTTGTGAAAGTAAAAGGATTGAAAATGAATCCTCTCTATGAATTATGGGAATTATATGGGGGTTTTTTGAGAAGACAAGTAGTACTCGCGTATTGCTTTGTCAATATCCTCAACTTCTTCTTCTTCTTCTTCTTTGTTTCCATTATTCAAATTTTTAATATCTAAACCTCGTTGTTTTTAAGCAGCGTTCTTACACTGAACTATCTCATCTCATCTCATCTCAATTTAGACGACATTTATAATTATTCATTAAGTTGTTTCTATTAAAGATTCTTTTTTTTTTTTTTAAGCATTTCTTTGTCTATTTCATTTTTTTTTGTTCTTCATAGCATCATCATCATCATCATCATCGAGCATGCACTTTTTCCTAGAATTACAACTGCACTCGCATAATTTTTTATTTCTCTCTCTCTCTTTTTTTCCTCCCTCTTTTCATCATCGCATTTATTCAATTTAATCCTAACAACCAATCACGAAGATAAATCATTTATAATAATAATAATCTAATAATAAATCAAAAGATATAATCAGATCATCGTTATTATTATCATTGACTAAAAAATCCTGCATAGCAGTTAACAAAAAAGGAACAAAAAAAAAAACGAAAAAAAAAAAACAAAAACTGAAACAAATAACGAAAAGATAATAATAGTAACATTATTATAATAAAAGGATTTTAAGGGTGTAAGGGGGGGGGACGTATAGTTGGGGGATGAAGGAATATGACGATGATTTTACGTTCTAATAAAGTAATGTTACGACTTTTGTTGATGAATTTAACAACACAAGACGAAATATGAATTTTTCTTAATATATATATATATATGTACTTATAATATATTTATTAATAAAGAAGTTAAAAAGGTTTAAAGATCGATCAAATAATAATCGATCTTGATAACCTTTAACTTTCCTTATTATTATTTTTTTTGTTTTGTTCTTTTTCTTTCTTTTTTACATCCTCGTTTGTTTTTGATCTTTTGTTTGTCTCTCTTTTTTTTTCATGGATCATTTAAAACATCAAGGAACAATTTTCCTAAATGTAATTAATAGGTCCTGCTGCTGTTAATACATAAGATAATTTTGCAATTACATGTTACACAAACATAGATTTCAATAGATCTTCCTTCATCTTCATTTTCTTCTTCTTCTTCTTCTTCGTTTTCTTCTATATAAACTGACAATTTATAAATAATACAAATTTTCTAATATACATTGAGCCAAATTCTCAATGAGTCTTATTATTATTTGCATTCTTTGTATGATGACATTGCAATTATCATGATTCGTGCAGTGCAGTTAATATTATATTTAAAATTGATTTAATTTTTTTTTGTTGGTTTCAAGAACACTATTTTTGATGTAATTTATTATATCACAAGTTTTACAGCTAACGTGATATATTAAATAACTTATGTTTTATTTTTCTTTTACATTAGTTTGCAATTTTATTATTTTTTTTGTTTTTGGAAGAGAAATAAGTTTATTTTTTTTTTAACAAATTTGTTAAATAAGTTAACCCTTTCGCTACTATGGATCACTATAGTGACCCTCCATAAGATGCAACTGAGATGCTACGGGCCACTATAGTGGCCCTTCATAAAATACCACGTATTTTACGTAAGACGAACATATGCAGTTATAGAACGTCAAATATCTCATACAATGGACATGTAATTTTACTGTTTTGTTTCTTTTGATTTAAAAATTGTTAATATCAACAAGAAAATTATTTAAAAATAAAGTGTAATTTCGAAGCTGCACGCATTAGCAGCCCTTACAGTAGAAGTAGCATCACCGAAAATACGCCCATAACGAAAGGGTTAATAAATATTATATGAAAAAAGATTCTTTACAGTATTATCATTTTACAACTGCATTACAGGAAGCATAATAAATGCATTTGAATTATTTCATGACTCAAAATCAAATATATGTTTAATTCTAATTAATCAGACGATTAATTTGAAATGAATAGTTTGTTAGTTGAAAAAAAAAAAAAACATTTCAATTGTGTGTTGTCATTTTAAAATAAAAATAATGTCAATCTATTATTACTGTTTATAATTAACAGAATATTTAACAGCTTTTCTTTATTCCTTCCTTCCTTCCTTCCTCCCTCTTCCTCTCTCTCTCTCTCTCTCTATCCTCTTTTATTCTTTCATATTACTTCATTTAATTTTTTTTTTGTTTTGTTCACGTGTAACGTTAAAGAATCATTTAGTGTCAAAGTGAAAAATATTAATTCTCTATCGAAGGAAATAATAATAATAATAATTTCCTAAGAATGGGAAATTGTTTGTTTCTAAGGTTTCCTTTTTTTTTTTTTCTTTCTTTCTTTCTTTCTTACTTTCTTGATATGGAAAATCATTAATCGTGAATATTACATTTAAAAGTCTGGTGCTTTTTTTTTTTTTTTTATACATTTTTGAGTGCTTTTTATTCTTTTTTATTCTTTCTGTTTCTCATTACCAAAATCATTTGCATCCTGAAGTATTATATTATATCAATCAGTGTGTTTATGAAATTGTTTATTATTATTATTATTATTATTAATATTATTATTATTATTATCATTATAATCCGTATTAAAAAACACCTGTAAGAATTTAGTTACTTTAGAATTTCTGTTTTAATAATCGAGCACTCTTAATGCGCTTCAAGGCACTTATGAACCATCATTTAAGTAAAAAAGTGATTAAGAAAATTCACGGTAAATTAATACACATTTTAATAATAATAATAATTTAAAAAAAGAAAAAAACAAACAAATCTAAATGATGAGAAGAAGATTATTGTTGATGTAAGAAAACAAAATAAAACAAAACAAAACAAAAAATGACATAAAATGTTGATTTGTTTGAAGTCACATCATATTCTTCATTAAGAACGCTATAAATGAAAATGAAAAGCAAATAATAATTAATAAAATAATTGGACGACAGCCTTAAGAACATTTGGAGCACCTCAATGTATATGCATATAGCAAAATCCAGACTGCATAAGTATGTATGTATTATGGTGAGATATACTAATTATGTAAAAAAATATATATGGTGTTGTTGTTGTTGTTTAAAAGAAGCCTGTTTTGTATTTCACAAAAATTAGTGCAATCATCATTATCATCATCATTATCATCATCATCATCATCATCATCATCATCAATTGAATCTGCCTAAGATAAAACTTATTATATTCTGTTGTCTCTCTTCTTTTTAGGTTTCATAGTTCTACTACACAATATTTAAGAGATGGTATAAATACTAAATACAACATAGATACGAAGAGCTTGGCTCATTGGCCATATACTCAAACTGAGTGTTAAACCCGTTGGTACACTTATTCGAAAATTTTTACGTTATTCTCGTGTATATGTGTATGTGTGTGTATGTGTTTAAGTTATTAATTAATTTATTATTACATATTTTATGTAAAGTCTCTCTCTCTGCAAGCCCAGCTTACCACCATCATCACCATCAACAACTGTACTGTATTATTTTCACTGTTTGTTTATGATGCATACGAGTTTCAATAAATAAAATTAATAAGAGAGTAGAGTAATAATATTTAGAAAATTCACATTTTCTTCTTTTATATAATTATTAGTTTTTTGTTTGTTTTTTTTTTTTCACTTCCTATTATTATTATTTTTTTTTTTTTTTTATCTTTTACACAAATAATTTTAATTTTATATAAATGAATGTTCTTTTTTGTTATTGCTGTATCCATTATCATATGTAACACTGCTTCTTCTTCTTCTTCTTCTTCTTCTTTACTTTTCTCTCATCGTTTTATAATAACATTTGTAACTTTTTTTTTTTTTTAAGATTTTATTATTTTTACCCGAATCCTTTGAAAGCAGAAATTTGTGCCATATAATTCCTTGATCCATATTAGCTAATGCAATTATAGGAAATACACGTAACAATAGATTTATTATGAAAATAAAAACAAGATAATGTATGTATGTATGTATGTATGTATGTATGTATATGTGTATAGGCCTACATATGTATAAGATTGGTTTGTTCCTGGTATTTGGTAACTGATGTTTTATTATTTCATTCAGCTAAATGCGCATTAAGCAGAGTTTACTAATAAATATATTCGAAATAGGTTTTTAATATACGAAGATTTCAATAGCAATATGTCTTCAGGAAATAAAGAGAGAAAAAAAAAAGAAAAGAAAAGAATAGAATAGTAGTAAAGAAACATGATCCTGTCCTGGTAGTTATATACCATTGCTATCATGTTTTTGTAATTATTACTATTATTAAGTATATAATAATCTTCATAAAATACTCACGAATATGAAAGTAAACGATTAAATCTCATTGGCACACGTGATAGCGATATTTATTTATTTTCTTTATTTTATTTTTTTTTTTTTTTGTAAAAACTCAATTTAATAAATCTAGTGGATAAATAAAGCACAAATAATTGCCTGTGCAATATATTCAGCTCATGCCGAAACATCGGTTATATATCCACTGTCTGTAATTGTATTATTATTTGTATAACTGATCATAAGGCGTGTTATATTAAAAGACGACTTTTTTGTTTTTTGTGTTTTTTTTTTGTTTCGTTTTTATATAATGGTATGGGCGAATTATTTGAGATATTTTCACTGACCGTCTCCTCTGCATAGTGTAGTAGCGCAATTTTACTGTAGTAGAAGAACAAAGCTAGAGAAATTCAGCTGCACGTTTTGGTGTAAGAAAAAACTTGATAATAATATTATCGTCGATACAATTATCAAATAATTGACTTGACGATACATTTTATCATCAGTTGAGAAGAGAGTGTGACTCTCTCCGTGTGCAAACTTATTTGAACTAGTCAACTTAAGAGTTTTTTTTTTTGTTTTCTTTTTTTTTTTTTTTTGTTGAGAGAAGTCTTATGCATGTGTTTTAACTTACATGCATCTATGTACATGTATGCGCATGGCAAGGTAGTATCAGGTGCAAATTTCTGCATGGTAGGTGTATATATAACTTATATGAACGCGTGAGCTGTGTGGACGGCGCTATGTACACCACTTTTCGGTCAATCGACTGACTTGACAAGCAAATAGTCGACTTTCGTCAATGTAATTTCCGACACCTATTGTTTCACTGTGTCCATTTAGTTTTAACGTGACACGTTTTCACGTCAATATATACCGTTGTATTATCTGTAATACAAGATATTTTCTTTAATACTTACAATGTACATTTGATATAATTATACATACAAACAACAAAAAGATATTTTATTTTTATTGAAACATATTACATGAAAATATCTTCTAACATACTTGCATGCAGATGTGCTAGAGTTTATCTTGGAATAAGAAAAGATTATTGGTGGCAGCAACTGCTACCACATTTTCAGATGGATGCCATGCAGTATGTAATATTTTTTTGTTGAAATCCAAACAATCAACACTAATCTCATCCTTTTTACGTTTTCCACCAGTGCAAACCTATCCGCATGATGATAAAGCTAATTAGTTTTTACATAAAGGTTTTTTACTTGACAATACAAACTTTGAAGAATAGCATTTAACCAACCTTACGAGGCTTTAGAAGAGTTTTGGGTTTGGCAATGTCACGTGCTGCTTCCAAAGTTAAATCACGTTTGGTATTACGATCAAATACTCTAAAGAAATTATTATATGAGCCTGTCATAATGGCACAATCATTACCACTCCAACAGCACTCAAATTTGTCGAAGATGCAATCATTTTCATAAAGAGAACATAATTTTGATCTTAAATATTCATGTACCTAAAATTATACCCATATGAATATTATCAAATTTATAAATGATTACATTCTCACAAAAGAATATATTCAAAAAAAAAAAAAAAAAAAAAGAAAAGAAAACTACAGCTTCCAAATGTTTTATATACTTACAGGATAACATTCAATGGGTTTTGTTTCCATTTGAAGATCCCAGACTTTAACGCTGAGGTAGTCCCTACTAATCATGTATCTTCCAGAGTTACTCAGCTTAACATCACTTATACTTGAGATTATTTCTGAGAAAAAACTCTTATTGGTTGGATCTTCTGGTTCTTCAAAAAGTTTACTATGATGATCACAAAGAGCAGCAGATCTCATATCGCAAAGTCTGATGGTTCCTTTGCTACTACTGTAAACCAAGACATTACATTCTACAGGATGAAATTCTGCAGCTGTTATTACTTCCGTCAACTCTTCCATGTTAGTAGGTTTTATGTCTACAATATCTGTATATCATATCATTAAGGAAACTACATTTTCAATTATATATATATATATATGTGTAATTTTATAAGTGTAATAAAAAAAATGTAAAACAATCGATTAAAAAAGGATACTAAAACTTTGATCGGTAATTTCAAGATGCCATAAATTAATTCTAAGATCATCCGCACTTAGGTACGTTTCTTGATCACTGTTGACACTTATACTGTTTATATGGTAAGTGTGCGCATTGGCAAATATTCTCCTTGGTGATGCCTCTACCATTAACTCCATTGGTTTTATAGTTGGCACCTAAATAATACAAATACTCGTTTATAATTTAGAAATGGTAAAACACTTTTTATCACATTGATTAAACTTACCCTCAAGGCAGTTATACAAGCAGGATCCCGAATCGCACCATTTTCTTCTTTCGTATTATATCCTTCCACTCTTTTATCCCTTTCACTAACTTTCCACAATTTGATTGTCTTATCATTTGTGGAAAGTAAAAAATGTGCCTGATTTTTTCTTCTTAACCATCTAATTTTATTTATTTTTTCTTCTATTTCTAATGATTTCAGGTAATCAAATTCGGGCTCGTGGCTTTGGAAAGTGCTGTATACATTATATTCACCTCTCCGTGGTATACTATTTTTACTCTGTGGAAAGAGATATATCATTTGAAATATTATAGTAATGGTAGAGGATCAGTAATCAAAACTTATATTAAAAATTAACATTGACAATGTCTTTCTTAAATGATTAATCACCTAACTGAATAAACTATCTTCAATACAACCACTTTACCAATAGTCTTCTTTAAGAGAACACGGTGTTACCTTTAATAGAGTCAGTGAAAAGCTATTATGGCTCAATAAAAGATCACCTATACAAGATTGTCCGAAGTTACATAAGCTCTACCTCAAATCATCACTAGTTATACTGATTTCTTGGTAATGACTGTCTGCAAACGTAGTAACAGTTTGCAAATAATATGAGTTATTAGTATTCTAAATACTACATGTATTACAAAAATCTCACTCGAGTGAGAACTACATTAATTACATCACTAACAAAAACACATATCATTTCTTATTTAATCTATATACTTTCTCATTTAACAAAACAAATATGGAATAAGTATGGTTAAATAATGGTTTATAATCATGTTACATTCCATAATACTTACAATAGGATCCCTTTGAAAAATAACAACTCGTCCTCCCTTGTCCCCAGTTGCAAGAAGGTCACCATCGTGATTAAACTCAACGCACGATATTATATCAGCTGAAATACCAATAAGAAATAAGTATGTATTTCAAAGTAGAGAACTAATAACTTATAATTTTGAAACGTTGTTTTTTTTTTTATTAACATAGGACAATAGTATATTGTTCCTCTAATGGAAAGTAATTAAAGTAATACTTGCCATCGGTAACGTCGTCTTCCAAAGTCCCTTTCACTTGCGAAAAACACCACTGTATATCACCATTACCTGTAACATACAAATTTTTCTTAATAATCTGAATAACAATAAACCCTGAATATTATATACAAATCATCTTATTGTTAAGTAATAAATACACATTTATGTATATAAATAGAATATCTTATCTTTAAGAAAAGTAACAATATTTACAAATAAATAATAATAATAATAATAATCTTAATATAATAATTTCATATATATATATATATATGTATATATATCTTCATACGTTGTCGCATGATTGAGAGTTAAACTCCATGAAGAGTTGTAAGCTAACGAAAGAGGAGAGGTTAGGAACACTGAAAACAATTGCAACGAGAATGGGAACGCAAGCGAATGGAACACAACGGGGTGCCGGTAATAAAAAAAAGAAAAAGAAAAAAAGGGATGCTTCAGAAGGCTCCACGACATGGCTGAGTTATTTGATTGCTATGAAAGAACGCGGAAGACGTTACGATAACACAATTGGAGTAGAGTAGAGATAGAAAAGTGATAGTAAGTAGTGTAATATATAGTAGTAGTAGTAGTAGTAGTAATAGTAGTAGTAGTAGTAGGGTATATAAAAGGAGAACGATGCAAAATAGCGTAAGAGAGATAAAAAGCGAGATATAAAAAGGAGTAAGAGAGAGAAAGAGAAATAGAAAGAGTGTGAGAGAGAAAGAGAGAGAAAAGTATAAAGTCACGCGTGAGTTAAACGATAAAGCCGAAGAACACAAAGTAAAGATGGTAAATAGCGATCCCTACTTGAAGTTTCGGCGTAATCCATCGTGCTTCTAAGCCGCTACCGGCTTCGCCGTCGCCACCGTTGCCACCGTTGCCGTCGCCGTTGCCGTCGCCACCGGCGACAAGCGCATCTGGTCTCGCTCGCGCGACTCGCCAAAAAAGACCGAAGAAGAACAATCACGAACGCGGCGTGCGGTGGCCGCGTATAAGAGATAATATTATTCCAGAGGGATTTATATGCGAAATATTCGTAAAAAAGGTTGAGAAAAATGAGAAAGATATAATAAATGGCGGAAGGTAAGCCCCCGTTGCACTCAGCGCTGCAGATATACCCGTGAACCCGCGAGATAACTAGGTCAAGGTTCACCCTGCCGCGGTGTACGGTGCGGCACAACCGAACACGGCCCACAGCAGGAACGAACGTAGGGGAACGAACGTAGGAAACTTGTATAAAACACCACGAACGAAAACGCCAATAGATGCCGAAGAATCACACTGTTTCGATCTTTCTCCTCTCTCTGTCTTCTTTCTTTCTTTCTTTCTCACACACATACACTCATTCACTCACTCACTCACTCACTCTCTTTCTTTCTTTCTTTCTCTTTTTCTCTATCGCTTTTTTACATTCTTTTTCTCTTTCCTTGCTTCGTAAGAGACACACGTTATAGATAGAKAGCCACGCGTACTAGAGACGTATATATGTATATATGATAGTATGTGCATATATACACATGAGAATATAGTAGTACTCTTTCGCGGTAGTGAAACAACCTGTGTGTGTATGTATGTGTCTCTCTCTCTCTCTCTTTCTTTCTTTCTTTCAAGAGATATATATATATATATAATAATAATATATATGTATATATATGAGGTATAAAGCAAGGCAGATATAAGAGAAGACCCGAGGGAGAGAGACTCTTCTGCGTGTGCCGTTTACTTACCGGCCATATCGCATACACACACGCGCGGCGAGATGCAACGCGCGTTTAAGAGATTTTTAAGTAACGGCCAATATAGAAATAACTGACTGAGAAAGATGGCACGTTTTTATCGTATCGCACGCACAAAGCTTGATAAAGGATTGACTATAGTGTTAACGGTTATGCGAACACGCTAAGAGAACACACGAAACGAAACACAGTACACAGCATAGCACGACACAGGAACAAATACTCTCTCAATTCGTATATATCTTCTCACGCGCAAAGTCACACGAATACGCGCGCGCACACCCCTGCCACCGCCACTATTCACTACTACCGGAATATCTCCGTTGTCGTCGTCGTCGTCGTCTTCGTCGTTGTCTTCGTCGTCGTCGTTATTGCAGTCGATTTAACAAAAATATGAAAGAATTATGTGTATTTATGATACGCCGAGGGCTCTGTGTTAAATTTTTTTTCACACTAAAGTGAAGACACGCGCTACCACCAGACAACACTCTTCCTCCTAACACAGGTTCTTTTTATATTCCGGGTCTCGCCTACGTCACATATTCAACGCGGTTATTCCCATGCCGCTCGCTATGCACCATGAAAAAAATAGGCAAGAATCGCCCTATCGTACGATTCGAAAATTTGATTTCAATGGCGGAGGTATTCAGGAATGCATAACCGCGCTACACGACTCCTTGCCGTGACGTCACAAATACACCATGCAACCAAGTTTAGTTGCTTTCACGAGATCCGCCATGTTAGAGAGTAGAAGAAACGACGCTGCTTACGACTTTAACCGAAGATCACCGACCTCTGACGAACTTTCCGGCATCATTTACGCGCCACTTTTGAATTTTCTTTTTACTAACAAACTTTACACTCGTGTTCGTCTCCCTTATTTAAATATATTCGCGCGTGATTTTTTAATGTTTCTTATGAATCTTTATATCAAAATGACTTCTTTTATTATTATTCGAAAATGAAAAACAACGTATGTTGAATTATTTTATGATATCGATTGAAATAAATCTAAAATGAAAGGAGTAGACAATATCAGTTTACAAAATACGAATTCACGTCCTAGTAAGTAGGAGATTAACGCATTTCAATTCTATGTGGGTACACTTGGAATACATAAAACGTGCTTTGCCTAATCGAGATAACCAAATGAGTACAGTTCTAAGAACTCGATAAAGAATGAGGCGATATGTTTTAAACCGACACTAAAATAAAATATTCTTTACGCGTATGTACTAATCATTTCTATTTGTATTTAGGTTATTACAAAATTAGAAGATCGATTTAGGAAATAAGAAAGAAAGAAGAGAATTATTAAACATCTTTAATGTCTCGCCAATTATTTTACGATGTAATATACAACATGACGAAGAAAAAAAGAGATAATTTGTATCATTCCATCATCAAAAAATATCATTTTCATAATCGAGCTTATTGTTGGTTATTGAAAGTAGTATATAATGTTGTCTTGTATGCATATTATGATGCTGTACTCTACTGTATATACTCTCCCAAAAGACTTTTTACATTACTACGATAATATGACGTCGTCTTCACACAACTCGAACAATGGCCGTTATCAGATGCATCGAAAATAAAACCTTCCGCGTCTTTTCGTTTGAAATACCTACCATTTAATCGTTTATCTTCTATTCTTTTTGAATATCGTATTACTTGAATGCGTAAGTAAGCATATAAGTATACTAGCAACAAGCTTGCGCGAATAAGCTTAAGTGTATTACAGGCTAACAAATTCATACTGGGCATTAACTGCCATTAAAGCGTTTCTACTACTCTTTCACTTTCTTCTTTTGTTGTGAACACGTTTCGCGACATTATTATTATTATCTCAAGATTTATACTAACAATAAATAAAATCTTTCATTGGTGTGTAGAGTTTCTCAAAGATTTTACTTTCTAACAACGTAATAAAAGAAAGAAACGCGAGTTAGTTTAAGTAAAATGAAATCAAACATAAAATTAGAATTTTAAAAACAAATTAACAAATGATTGATTTTAAATTTATTTTTGATTTATTTTTAAATTCACACATTACCTAAGAGTTCCGTTAGTTTTTCATGCAGTTCTTCCATTGAAGAAAACAATGGTTTGTTCCTCATCAATTTAGATAAATTCTTGGGTGCACGTATTTCCGAATATGACGGTCGATCCATTTTTATTTAACAAAAATTTCGATACACTTTTTATTTTTTTATTTTTTTTTTTAACACGTTATGACATATTTATCCTTACAACCAAATAGAAAATGCACTACACATTTAATTACGCTGAATAGTATCGTAAAATTGAACTTAAAATCAAATTTTATATTTCTCTAAAGATTTTCTATGAGCTACTACCGTTATACCAACAGATCGAAACACTTTCATCGTTTTAAAACTGCGTCAAATGTTATTTGACTTGATTTATGCTAATCCCTTAAACTCGAAGTCATCCATTGCGAGACCTCGCGACATTGTCGGATCTTCAACAAAAGAGATTTTCTCAGTTGTATCATTAAATTGTGTATTGTGAACAATACAAACCATAAAAGAGAAGAAAAGAAAAAAGAAATATTCTTACACAAATAAATCTCCAATTGACACTCGTGACAATTTGTTAAAAAAAATATATATATATATATATATATATATATATAAATACATAAGTATAGAAATTATGAAGAAACACGAGCAAAATGGCCGAAAGAATAGCACGATATGTACGAGGAGACTGTCTCGAACTGGTACGTAAACGTTGTTTCTCAAGGAAGGTACTGATTGCCTTATGTATTAGAGACAATTCGTTAATTGATTTGTCCTAACAAACACGCGCACCCAATACTGCATTTACTTTTGCATCTATTCGTTATAAATTGAAAGAAAAATTATGCTGATACGATAAAATAAACATTAATCCCCCTTACCCCCTTAATACTACACAATTACACCCTATTATCACTACTAATTATTTTTACTCTTTGATGGTTGAGATTCTTACAAATATCTGTTAAGATTCTATGTAAATAATGTGCTTGTACGCGTGCGTCGTGTTATCAATGTCAAGATGATATAACGACTGTTTATTAATTGTATGCTTTATCTCAATTTCTCTTTCTGTCTTTCTCTCTCTCTCTCTCTCTCTCTCACCACACACACACATTCACTTTCACTTTCTTTCTCTTTTTACGTTTTTTTGTTTTTTTTTGAAAAACGATTAGGACACGAAAATGATTAATTTAAGTATAATTGAAATATTACTTTTCTTATGTGTATGTGTGACGTGTATGGTTATAAATTTAATTCATTTGAATATGCTGATATCATTATAATTCAAAATAACACTTCCATTATAACGACACATCTCTCTCTCTCTCTCTTTCTCTTTCTTATTCTTCTTTCATCTCTTTATCGTAATAAATCATTTCCAAGGATCTCACCACAACTACAAATGTACAACTTACAAAATATATATATATATATATATATATCACTAAATATAATAATTACAGACCCACGACGACTTGTGGATTTTGATGAGGGAGGAGGAGTTTCAATACTTTATAAACAAAAACACATAATTACATACCCAATAGTTGGTTACAATTTCGATAGAAACAGTTTGGAAAACTATCATCGGATTTCGTTTCACTCGTGTCTGTTTTATGATTATTATTATTATTACAATTTAAGTCGGTAAATAAAACGTTTCTTCTATTAGTTCGCGAAAAATACATTTTTTTAGAAGACAAATCAAAATGAATTCTATTAACGACGAAGAACACTAACTTAACTAGCAAATTTTGTAAGAGATAAGAGACCAACATTAAATACGCGTTAGTGTGTTCCGTTGTTTTCACTTGAGTGACATTGTTAAGAGAAAATTTCTTTCCTTATTCCTCCCTACTCTTTCCCTTTCCCTTTCTTTCTATTTATCTATCTTTATCTTACTCATTAGAAACATAAAAGTCAATATAAACATTTCAATACTGTTCGACACTGTTTTCTTTAGTAGTACACATATAAGGAAATCCTACTTAATATAAAAACCCGCTATTGGGATCTTTGGCAGGGGCGTGGCGTAGCAATTTGACCTATCTACCCTAATTTTGAATTTAACCACCAGATAGCGTATTCTAGTGCTAGAGATCATAATACAATGTAACAATGTAAACTATCGACTATCATAAGTATTGTTAAACATTTTTTGTTATTTTTTTAAAAGTAAATAGAGATTGGAAGCCTCAAAAAGCAGTTTTTTTTATACATCAGTCATTTTGACTAGTGTGGTAGAAAATGGTGGTATATCTAGTGTTAATGGCCGCTGACACAACATGTGTGTGATAGCCGGAACACATTAGCCGTTATTTTATTTATAACTTTAATATATCAAATTAAATTTGTTGTTTTTTGTTTTATGTAAATTTTTTCGTTAATGACAATAAAGTTTTTTTAAAATTAATTCTTGAAAAATATTACCAGACCCCTGACAATGTTTGACTGCGTACATGTGCGGCCATTAAAGTGTTAATATACAAAAATCTATTGAAATCTAACTTCGATCACATTTTAATTCAAATGTTATTGTAAATATTTAAAACAAAAAACAATTTCTATAATATATTGATGTCTCCCATAATAATATATTGTATACGAGAAGTATTGAGACATAAATTTCTATCTAAAACGAATAATATATATTGGAAACCCTTTTTGGTATGTTTTTCCTGTCCTCCTACTAAATCATTTTATTACCGTGTTGTTCGTGAGTTGGTACTCGTGTTATCGAGAAATATGATGAAAGATGAGAATACGTTAAACTTGAAAATATTCAACGAGACACGTTGTGTTGTTAGATGATAGTCAAGGTTTATACTTACACTTTTGTTTGATCTAATAAAAATAGAAAATGGGATATAAAATAAAAAAAAAAAATGAACAAACAATTAACCAACTCACCGGCTCTTTTGTTGACAGCGGTGTTGATCATAGAACCAAGTTTCGTGAGGCTTGACTGCCTCATGATATTGGATGGACTTCTCTTCATCCGTTTGGACGGTTGAACCGAAATTGGGGCGGTGGTTCTGGCCCGTGCCAAAATAGCACGAATTTCGGTATAACAATTTCTTTGTGGATTCGAATTGGGGGGCCGCTGGGGCGGTGCCCCCCATAGACCCACAATCCCTGCGTGACGCGTGGTGAAACTTTTTTACTCGTCTTTGTACTTCTCTTCGTCGTCTTCTTCGTCTTCTTCTTCTTCTTTTTCTTTTTCTCTTTCGAGAACACCTGCCAACCCTTCCTCCAACTCCGGAAGTGACAAATTTCCTTTAACAACTTCTCGATCGTTCTCCAGAATCTTCACCTGTTGAAATTCGAATAAGGTTGGATAAATTAGTATATTTTATTTCTAAGTATACGTTGAACTTAATTTTATGGTTAATTGAAATGTTAAATATGATATGAGAGAGAGAAAGAGAAGATACGATTAATGATCGTGGTGTTACGTGAGTGGAATATATTTTTGAGAAACCATCTTGATTGAGATTATTAGACGAGTAACGCTAATAAGGTGTAATAATCAAAGAGAATTGTATAATACAATTTTCTAACCTAAAAATTACAGATTTATTACTGCGAATTCATTTGAATTTTCTATAAAAACAGTTAAATCTAATATAAATTAAAAAAAAAAAAAAAGGATTTTTTTTGTTCATTTTATTACGAAGAATGTGACGTAGGTACGGATTTGCGATACGTGTGCAAGAAGAAAAAACGTTTGCAAGAGAAAACTACTCGAGAAAAGAAGCTTGCGTTGCGGTACTCGAAAACCAAGAGACAACAGCATTTGCACCAATAGCAGTAGCAGTAGCAGAAGTAGAAGTAGAAGTAGAAGCAAAAGCAGGAAGAGTAGAATACAGATCGTCGAGAAGCACTGACGACTACTCATTGTGGAAATCGATGAAAACCACTCAAGGAAGTTCGAAGTACTCGCGTTCCTTCTTCCATATGCTTGCTTGCTTCTCCCGAGTTCTATGATAATACTTCTTCAGGACAACATGTCGCGTGACCAAGGAGCATCTACCACCTTCTATGCGACCGTCAACTACGATTTCCTTTGTCGCCATTTTCGAACGACGATGACCCGTTGAAAGGCTCAATTATACATGAGACAATAACGTTCTGCTTGTATTTGTGTATTTACGTGTGTGTTTGTGTGGATTATACACACTTTTAGGATATTTTAAATATGTTCTACTGTTACTTCAAAAAATCGATTAATTGAGAAAAATTAGTACACATTTTTGCCGCTAATACTATAATGGACGATTAAATTTTTAATTAAATAAATGTAGGAATAGTTTTTTATTTCATAATTTATTTAATGATATTAATAATTTTTTAATGTAAAATAAATGATATAAAATTTCATTATTTCATTTTAATATATTATTTTATTTTATTATTACCGGTAACAGTAATATTGCATACGCCGCCATTTTGGAGAACACGTTTCGCGACACCCAAATAAACACACATTTGAATTTTTACAATTACAAAAATAGAATATTATTATTAATAATTAATTATTAATTAATTAATTTATTAATTTAATTATAT